CTGAACTTGAGTCAGAGTTGACGAAAATGTCAAAAGTTGGTAACTCAATTAAGTCGAGAACAAAATAGACATGGGAGAAACTATAAAGTAAACAAGGAATTATATAAACAAAATCACGTCACACTTAATATGACATATTTTCCACATATGACCACATATCTTGAAGGAGGTTATTAAACTTCGTCATACACTTATGTAAAGGAATTGATTTTTATATGGTTGGATATATCCCATACTGAGGTCATATTATCTTTCGAATTAGAAAAAAGTGTTAAGTTAAAAAAGTTAATAAAAAGTGTAAAATAAAACATTAATTGCAGCTGCCTCTAATTTTAATTTAAAAAAATTTATCAAGCAACACAAACTGATGCTTACACCACTTAATGTGGATGAACCATTAAATAACCTTCAAATAACGGATTATAGATAGAAAAATATTGCAACATGTGAAACTAAAATTTCTGTAAACTGACTTCTGTGTCGTATAACTTCTTGCCTATTAGAGAGTATATGATCAGAATGAAAATCTCTTATAGTATTTATAATAATAGTTGCCAGAATTGAAAAAAGAAAAGTAATTTTAAGTTACTCTGTATATTCTCCGCTTCCACTTTTTTGAGGAAGAAACAAGCTACCCTAGATAAGGCGCTTATCAAAAACCTGAAATGTAAAATCAATGAACTTCGGACATTCTTAAATCAAACAGACTGACTCTAACCGGTTATTATTCTTGTGTGGGAGGATTTCTCACTACCGTCTAGGGATCTATGGTGTCTTTTACATGGTTTCAGAGTATTTCTATAATTTCGATTTCTTCGATAAATTCTTACACTGAACCTATATTCGGATTACCATGCCTTTGTATTTTCTTCCAGTACGAGAAGCGCACCTGGATACTTCTTTTGTTAATGTACCAGTACTGGTGTATCATGTGTAATACTGGTGCATTATCCCAGTATATGTTTACCCGTTATTGAAACGAAAATACGTCTTTCTCTGTTTCTCTTTTTGTTTCCCAATGAAGGATAAAAAAAAGTAATATCCTTTTTTATTTTATCTCCTGTTTTTAAATTTAGTGAAAAAAAATTATCGCATTCCATACCATAAAATGCTTTCGGCCCTAGAAACTAAGAGGCTGCTCTTTTCCTGCCATGTTTGTCATTGGTTTTGCGAATTATCCTATAACCAAAGAATATACATCCTATAACGTCTCAATGCAACCTACAACGAAATAGATGCAGTACAGGACCAAGAATATTACTTGAAGTATGACAAGAACCTAGATGTATGAGTAGCTAAACAATGGTTACTGCAACTTGCCACTTAGTGGTTAGCCCACTTTGAGGATCTATCGCACAATAAGCAATTGATGTCTTCGAGTACAAGTGCTTATAGTTGTATGAGTAAACGTCATCTCACCCAAACTTATGCTATAAACAGATGGATATATAACTTTTTAAAAACTTCTTCTCAAAAACCCGAGGAACTATCAAAAACTTTTATCAAAGCTGTTCAAAACTCTCAAAGAGAATTAATTTGGTTAAGATAATTACTATTATGAAGATGTTTCTTGAATCAGAAAAACAGACATCATATGAGCAGGCATCACAATGAGTCTAAAGATGGTCTACCTCAAGCCTAATACACAGTTCAGCTCTTAAACCTAACCTAATCTGAAGATATAAATATCCAGACATTTTATATGCAAAGTCCTAATTGTATGATCCTGTTGGACTATGAATATACATAGCAGCATTGAGAAAACTTTCCAAGCCACAATATCTGCGCTTTTTTTAGCACTTACGAAAAGTCATTCAAATACTTTCATTAGAGAATTGGGAAAAAATAAACTTACATACTACTACCTTAGTGCTATGAGTCAATGTTAAGTGACGCGATTTCCCATTCCAGCATAGATAATATTAAATAAGGTACTTTCGCTAAGCAGTATAAATTGAAGGATTCTAGGAATTTACTTTAAGTATCGCTGAAATCAAACAAATCACTTAAATGAGTCGGATAGTCTCAATCCGACACTAATATTTTTTAATTTTAAGGAATGAACTTAAAAGACATTATTTGTAATTAACAAGCTTTTGACAGAAGAAGGCTTGACCACTTACGATACATTGTTATACCTCTACATAAACCATGAAAACTAAACAAAAAATTGTAGTTAAAATTTATCAAAAGTATAAGATGAAAAGTATAAGATTAAAAGAGAATATGCAGAGGATACTAACCTGGATTTATAATATTAAATAGAAGACTGTCTGCTATTCTCATATAAGCTCGATATAGAATATGGTTTGTTTATTTCGGTATAATGAAGGTATTAAATATAACATCAAAATATGCTTAGTTTGAGATCTTAGTCAGGTCTTTTAGTAGATAGGCTTTCATAGTAATAAGTCTTCAATTAACTAAACTCTTATTATATACTTTCAAAATTATTGAAGCTGTTCAAGGAACTCATTGAAGTAGTTAATATTCTTAAATGTTGCAGCTCAAAATATAAAAAAATTTTTAAATATTATCTCAATAATTTAAAAAACAAATCCTTTTGTATTGTGGCTATATTTGTTAAATAAATATTGAAGCAGTTCTAAGTGGCATGTAAAATAATTCATTTCCCAAAAGGCATTTAATTCCATTCGCTTTAATGGCAAGAGGAGAAATGAAAGTTTTCACGCTGCTGCAATAATTGCGAATCCTCTATGGATAACCTATTAAATTTATATGCTCACCGGAAATTAAACAAACATAGAAATCAACATTAAATAAATTTAATTTATTTAAAAAAAATAAATTGACTGGGGATTTATGTACGGTCAGTTTATTGTGCATATATGGCAAATATTATAAAGAATTTTATATAAAGTAAATAAATAATAAATGAGTGATTTATGTTTAATGCATGTTTGATGAATGATAATATTTATTTAGTTATTAAATGATTTAAATGAGACAATAAAAATATTTGTCAACAGATTTGCTAACAAATATTGTTTCCTACAGTTTATTTAGCACTTTTAGTGATTATTAAAAATACAAAACATGTCAAACTGTTCTCCTGTACTGTCGACAGTTTGATGGTTTGTGTAAAGAATAAGCAATTCTGTAACTCTCAAACTGTATCAATAGTATATTTTAAACAAAATATAATAATTAATAATACTTAAAAATTACAATAAATAATTATAGTAGTTGTGTTTCAATAATTAAATTAGTATTTATTAAAAATCAACATACAGTGTACGTAGCCATGAGACGCATATGCGGCCTACTATAGCAGTAGTTCATAATATATTATGATAAAATAGCTGCGCTCAAGTTAATAGGCCTGCCCTATAAATAAAACAGCAATGACGAAGAAATGAGTTTACTTAAGTGGACACGCTGGAAACCAATAGATTCCTGAATGGAAAGAGACAATTTTTAGAAGACTATAAGTAATGAAGATCATTGTTTCTTAGCTTGTTCTAGAATGCACATCCCTAGCAATTTTAATCGATGTTGCGTATTCGCGTATAACAGAAGAAACTAAATCTCAAGTGTAAAAGTGTAAAAATGACCTTTGGTCACATTGTCTGCTATTATTCGACTATGATCAAGATCAGGAAGAGATTTTTTTGGCGAAAAAACCTTTGTCCATTTAATATTAAGATGTCCTAAACCGCTGACATTCTCTCATTCAAACGACAAAATATTTTCTGTTCACTTAAGTTCAATAAAAATCACAACAGCTCAGTCATGATCCCAGTACTCTGTTCCACTGAGAGCCACTACCCTATATATTATATTATTTTCTATTTCCTGTTGAAATGGTACCTTCCTCATTTAGCTCCATCTTCCTCTTAATTGTGGGCAGAAAATTGGGTATATTAAAATCAGTCAAACACATTGTCACATAGGTATAATACCAATGTTGAAAACATCTCAGAGCGAATTAAAGAATGAAGTGCTTAAAACCTTAAAGTTTGTTCTGGAGAATCCTGCACACAGACACAACAGATGTCTCCTCCACGAACGCTGTTAGACACTTACTAAGAAACTCGACATGGCCAGCTCAGTCTGGCTCCATGCTGTCATATAGTTCAGTGCACCGTTAAAACCGATATTATCTTAGATACTTATGTTTTACTTCTGTGAACTAAGTCAAATTTTCTACTTATGGAGAATAAAAGTCATGTTGCTCGTGAATTAGCTGGTATTGAAATATTAGCCATGTTAACTTTCGTATCTTAAGTTTCATATGAGGTTTGCAGGAGCAGGATTTAAAACGGGCGTTACGAAGTGCCAATAGCTCAATAGTACATTCATTCCTCACTATATCAAGAACCCAAACCAAGTAAGTTTACTTTGAACCTACTAGTACATTTATTAATCGCCTACATTCTATTTAAGGAAAGCCAACTTACTAATCGTTCATTTTTTCCAGCTTACATTTAATTGTTTTGCAATCTATATAGATAGAAGCTATAAATACGTGCAGATCTTTTGGGTGTTCCGTATGTATCTCGTAATACACTTTATCTTGCTTAATAATCCTTCTTGCTTTACTGCGCCCCGTATATTTCCTTTTTTTCTATTCACTAGATAATGAGAAAGCATTTTCATCATCCTCAAAACTACGAAAAGTGTCTCAGAGAGGGGTCATGGCTATCCGATAATTAGTTGTTCGTAAATTCATAATAGAGTCAATCTGAGATATGCCAATGAGATCGCTAGAATGTTTCCTACTTGAGAGGGGTCAACTTATATATCATTTATATCCCTTTTATTTTGTAGTTAATTGTATTCTAAGATGCTATGAATATGCGCAGATCTTCCAGGTGTGCTGAATGTGTTTCCTAATACAACTTGTCAGACAAAGCAATCCTCCTTGGATCGAATAATATATTTTTTTTGAATAATATATAGGAGTATATTGTAATATAAATATATATATATATATATATAATTAATATAAAAAAAAACAATTTTTTCTTACTCAAAAATTTATTTCAAACAATTTGTTGTCGTAGCGATAAAATTAAATAAATATTTTTGTATAATTCGTACCTTAAAAAAATTAATACAATTTGTGCGTTTCATTGGTTTGAATGAATTGGAATTTGTATATTTCACTAAAACAATGTCTGACTGCAATTCATTAAGTTTAAAAAAACTGTTTTAAAAAAAATATCATAAAAAAACTATTTAAATGTGATATATTTTGGCTTAAATTTGTACGTGATATCGTTTAGTTTTTACAGTTGATTTCGTTAAAAGACTGGAAAAAAGTAAAATTGAACTAGCGTTTAAAGTATGTTTTTTTTACATTTAATTACAGATTAATTTAAAAATTAATTAAGTAAACAATGGCAGCGAACAGTACCGAAATCAATGACACGCCCACACCAACAGCACTGTCACAATAATAATCGGCGCAATCGGCTTCATAGAATGTCTTATAGCGCTTCATAACTTCATCCCAGTCGCAGAGACCAACTTTACACCAGTTCAAGTCAACAGCGTATTGGTTGAGGAAAAATATTACTTTTTCCTTGGGAGCAGCTTGACAGTCAAACTTAACAGCAACGAAATTAGAAGCGAAAGGATCAATGTTGCTTGTCTTCCAACGGCGGTAGGACAATTCATTGTAATTAGCAGCAGTGAGCTTAATGTCGTCTTTGTTAATACCCAAAGCGGTAATTAGAGTTTGTACGCCAGAAGAATGTCCGAAATAGGCAACAACATTTGGTAGACTATCAGTATTTAAATGATTCAGCATATCCTTAACAGCGCGGCAGTTAAGACGTGTGTTACCCTCAAAACCGTAGCCTAATTTGTAGTAGTACTTCAAATCGTCCTCATACTCGAAAATCGTAACCTGCTCAGGAGTGAAAGCCTGCAAATGAATAAATTTTTGATCAATTCTAGTTGAATGTGTGGATGTAGTAAAAACTTACCGCACACCAAACAGAGGTGCGATCAACTTGCCAAGCCTGTTCGTAACGGCACATATCATACATGAGGTCAACATCACTTGCTTCCAATGTATACTGGAAGCTATAAAGAAATTATGTCAATACGACGTTTCACATAAATTGTTGTAGTAGTGCCGAGTAAGACTTACCCCAAACGTTTAGAGACTTCATCGAGCGTATTATTCCATATGGTTGAATTTCTGAATTTGCCTGTTTCTGACGTGGAACTGCTATAATCATGTGCTTTCCATGATTCACAATAGTCATAAGGACGTAATAGTAAGTCATCACCTTGCACTTGTTCTTCCTGAGCACCGTTGTTAGCACCAAAAAGTCCTTCAGTGAAAGCTTTGAAACTTTCTGTAGTTCTTTGTGTATCAGTATGACGAAACTGCAAGAATTTGATGAATATTTTATATTTAAATTTAAAAATTTCCATAAATTAATTAAAATTTTTGTTGTTGTGGTTTTCATTTCTATTCGAACCCTTCTAACTTTCAAATAGTTTCTCTTTGTCATAAGACGCCTCACTGTCGGTAAGAAAAAATTAACGTTAAAAAAATTTTTTTTAATTATTTAATAAGAATACATGAAATAACTGTCGTACTGTAAGAAATGAAAGCCTTCAATACATAAATTACATACGCAATAAAGAGTAATATAATAAATATGGAGTGATCATTATGGACAGGCAACAAATCTATCATTTGGAAGTTATATCCATTTCACCCTGCAGGATTATATTTACTAACTGTTGAGCTTTCTCTCCTTTTCACACTGTCTCCTAGTTCCATCTTCTAGAGTAAGATGACAAAAAGAAGCCCCTTACGTTTTGACTCCATTTTTGTTTTTTGTTTCCTTAGTGCTAACTTGTATTAGAACACAACTATTCAAATTCCTAATTACAAATGCTTTGAGAGTAAATATGCAATATAAATGCACACTTTAGCCTCCTTCCATATGAAATCTTAAGTTTGTAGTGTATTGCGATGCTTCAGACCCCACTTTAGATTTCTATCGAAAGAAACCTTCTTATAGTGAGAAGTGGCAGTAGCTTACAGCCACCACAACTAACTTTTGTTGCTTAAAATGGACAAAAGGCAAGCGATGCAATATAATAGAGCATTTCTGCCTCAACAATAGACAAATTATAATCGGAAAGAGTGAAAAGTATACATCCACAGGCATATATTTTATTTTCATACATCATTTTAAAAACAAATACTTACCAAATACACCGATTTATTGTATGGCTTGGTTAAGATTTCAGGATAATATTTTTGATAGAGTTTTGATGTACCTCTGAGATCTTCGTAGCCCTGAAATTAAAAATAAAATTTTTAAATAATTATTTCTAATTAAAAAAAAAATAATAATAGACATGTTTTTATGTTTCTTACATATATATAATATTTATATTAATATGTATATATACATAGGACTTCGCCAGTCAAATTTTTAATGTTTTGCATATCTAAACAATATCAATAAGCGTAACACCGTATTGCTTATTTGCTTATCAGAACTAAGTCACTATCATAGAAAATTTATATCAGATGAAGTTGCATACGTAGTCATACAACAAATGGCTACGCTACGCCGTTGATAGAGTAGTCATGAACTATAATACTTTTCTCCATATATCCTCATACTAACCAGTAGCAGTTAATCTAATATATGCATTTTTTCTCCAAAAATTTAAAATAAATTAAAAAAACTGGATTAATCAAGTCATCTCTTAAGCTTCTGATAACTAAAAAATTTAACAATTCAAGTATGACCGTATGAATCTTACTTCAATTATCAACGAAATTGATGGTATACAAAATTTAGCATGTCCACCCATAATCTGAGCTATTAGGTTATCCCACAAGAAGATCCTTAATGTCCTAACACCCATGATGAATAGATCCGAATATTGAAAAACCGAATATTATAAGCTTACGACCACAAAACCTATGCGTTAGTTAAAATAAAATTAGCACTAAATTTACCCCACAAAAGCAATATCATCCCATGGGTGACATTTACAAGAATTTCATTATGATTCTATCCTTAAGAGAGGCATAAACTACACGATCTTTGTCGAACTCTTTTTAAACCGCAATCTTCATGGGTGGCTGATGTTAGTACAGTTATTTACTCGGAGGGATTAAAGTCCGTTTAATTGGGAAAACAAGTCTAAACAAATCTTCTCTCCAATCGGGGTCCCGTAGTTTCTAAAAAATTAAGCCTATAATTCTAATACATTTCACTACAATTTATTATATTCTATTATATTTATAGAATATATTCCATTCTATTATAGCAATTAGATATTTATTATATATATTGCAATTTATTATTTTTAAAATAAATTAAACCCTTAACTGTAGACTTAATAAAACACATTAAGTCCATAAAATGTTTGCAGTGATTTGAATGTTCCAGAGTAACGGTGTGTGAAGAACCCTTTTAAGAAAGACGTATGCTAGATTTGTTTTGTGTATATTACAAGAAAGTCGATAACGTCTTTAGTTTGACAAATTCTATTTATATATTCATTTATATAATTTATGTTATTCTCAAGTTTGACAAGTGTAAATTAATTGAAGTCATATAAAAACCACTTGAGATAATTGATTTTCTAAAAATTATTGATGACGTTCGGCGAGGTACTTTTTGAATAACTGGAAATTCTATCAATCACACGAGACGTAGTCTTATCTTTCACTCAAAGCGTTTCGTATATATTACGAGTGATACAAATATATCTTATGTACTTGTCACTGTCTTTTGACAACTTCCGTGACGTCAGCATATTGAAGGGTAAAATAAAAAAAAATCACTGTAATCTATTAAACAATTTATTACTGTTGACAAATCATATCATTTATAAAATAAAAACAATTATTGTTAGTAAAACATAATACTATGAACTAAACAAAAACACTTCTCACGCTGAACCTGTCCATACAAATAATTTTAATCAATCATTATCGGAATAAAACACGATCAAATGCTTTCAAAAAACTTAAGTGAACTATCAGTACTTGTTAATTGAAAGTCATTAGGTACTACGACAAATAAAGGCCTAAATATTAAAAACATTTAGAAATGAATTAAGTTCTTAAAAACATTGTAAATCAGAAAATCCGATAAGACAAAAATAGTTGAAAAAAAGATAACGTTTTACGCAGATAATTTCGGCTCCTATTTATTAGTAGTGGATTTTTCTCATGTACTCAAGTAGATCTACTTTAAAGATATACGTGGAATACGTCAGTAAAATCAATTTACCCGAAAGGTGTCTAAAAATGAAAGGAAGTGGAATTAAATCGTCTTTTATTTAATATTCACATTTCTCAAAAGATAAATTAT